ACAACAGGTCTTCTTCTGACCTCACTTCTAATCTGGTATTAACAGAGATGTTTATATTGCTTTCATGTTCTGAAGGATTAACCATTGAATCATCTGCTTAAAGAAACAAAAATCAACAAAAGTACATTTAAATTTTTTAAAATGTAAAACATACTTTAGACAATACATTTTTATAGAATAGTCAATTAATATAATTTTATCACATGACATATTTTGCATAACTTTACCTCCAGCAGCACCAGTCAATCAATAAACTTTAAACCAATCAGTAACAGGCATCACATCCATATATAAAGCCCTGACAGACACATGACTTCCTCTTTCTTTGCTGCTTACCAGCCAAGGCACAGGTCAGAGTATTTTGCTCCAAACTGTTTTACTGATATTGCAATTGTCATTAGTTTATCATTTATTGCTTAACTTTCAGTTTGTTCCAAACTGTTTTATTAATATTGCTATGGTCACTGTAGTTAGACACCTTATGCTAGACATTCAGTTTTAATCCTAACTGTTTTTTCTGGATACCACTTTAATTAAACTTTATTACTTGACTTTCAGTTTGCTCCAACTGTTTTTATTAATATTGCTATGGTCACTTTAGTTAGATTTTTAATGCTAGACATTCAGTTTTTGCTCCAAACTGTTTCTGGATATGCATGGCCACTTTATTAGCTTGTCCTGCAATTTTGGCCTAAACGTTTTTCATTATTTTGCACTTGCCTTCCATTTGGATTTGTATAGTGTGATATTTTCCCCCTGTTACCCTTCCCCTGAATTAACCCTGTATTTTCTGCTTTATTAGCCTGTTTTCTGTTGCTGGCACCTTTTTTTTTTTCCTATGCTTTACTCTGGTCTAGCACGGATCGCAGCGTTTTACCGCGAGCACGCTTTTTATTCATTGATGCTGGGACTTCAGGGCAGGTCTCTGGGGGTTAGGGGTGTCTTGGGGACTCTTTTCCATGCTGGCAGACCGCGATCGTATCTTCGATCGTGGGCCGCACAGCACTTTTGCGCGCGAACGGCGGCCATCTTGAATCTCGCGAGATTCACGTCGGCCATGTCGTTTGGCCAGTTCGAATTCCCACGAACTGGCGGCTAGTTCTGTACTGTTTCATATATTTTTCCTGTGAAATAAAAGTTTTACAAGTACTTTTGAGCTCAATACTGTTCATGGGCATGTGGAATAAAGGTTTTATATGTACCTTTCCTGGAAGATTATGAATGGACTGTTCACTGCTGAGCTCTATACTGGCATATTTCATTGGCATGTGAAATAAAAGTTTTATATGTAACTCTGCATGAATATGTAGGACTGATCCCTGCTGTGTGCATCTGCTGACAGTTTGCTCTATTCTGTTCTATACAATTGACATGTTGAATAACAGTTTTATTGTACATCTGGAGGATTATGAATGGACTGTCCCCTGCTGTGGGCATATAGTGGATGCATTACTCTATCTACTGGCAGGGAAATTAAATAGAGCTGATATCTTACTCAGCTCCCTACTCCCACTGGACCTCACAACCATTGGATACACTCCTTCCCCACAGGGATACACCTCCCAGGACACAGTAGTGGAGGCACATAACGGAGTGATTAACAGGGGTGACCCCCCTTACGCTGGGTGACCCCCAAGCATGGCAGACACCTCTCCAAAGTGACATTGTGGTACAGGGGTGACCCCCCTTACGCTGGGTGACCCCCAAGCGAATCTGGTTCCTGTCCTAGTAACATACATATACTGGGGTGATCCCCCTACGCTGGGTGAACCCCAAGCGAATATTATTCCGGTACTAGTGACATACATATACTGGGGGGAACCCCCATGCCCTAGGATGGGCTCATATCCACGGAGTACGATCTGTTACTGTATGCACAGACCGGGTCACACTGGATACATGTATATCGACAGAGCCAGGAAGGAGAGCTCACGGTGCTGCCAATTCTCCACAGTACTATATCCTACACGGGCTACGTCCCGACATTACTGACCGCTCATCCCGGTCTTAATGAGGGTGACCCCCTCCTCAGACCACTCCCAGGAAATCTCTAAGTGGTACTGATTGAAACAATTCTGGATGACCCCCAGTCGTACGTGGAGGCCCACTAAGTGGCAATAAGTGTACTACAGTACCTGACACCTGTTCGGTACCCCATAGACCGAAAGAGTGTCCCAACATGCCATAAGAGACATTCATACAGGGGTGACCCCCCTATGCTGGGTGAACCCCAAGCGAGTCTTACTCCGGTGCTAGTGGCATAGATACAAAGGGGTGACCTCCTACCGGACGTGGTGACCCCCCGCGCCCTTTCTAGGGCTTCTACCTTCAGAGTACGCTCTGTCATTGTATGCACAGACCAGGGCGCACTAGATGCATGTATTCTGGCACCTCTATGCTTCAACTGGGGTTCCGTACGCCCTTCCCATAACTGAGAAGGAGAACTCACAGTGCTGCCAAAACTCCACAATTCTAGACCATATAAGGATGAACCTCGTGGACTATACATATAGAGGCTTTCACGTCTCCCAGACTCGGGCTACGTCCCGACATTGCAGACCGCTCATCCCGGTCTTACTGAGGGTGTCCTCATTCTCAGACCACTCCCCGGATCCTGCAAAAATGATACTGATTGATCAAAATTCTGGGTGACCCCAGTTATACTCGGAGGCCCACTGAGTGGCAATAAGTGTACTGTTGTACGATCCTGTCTCCCACCGAGGCCGCCATGACAGCTCCGGGGGAAGAAGTCCTCTCCAGTATGCTGGCTAACAATCCATCCGACAGAGCAGGTGCAACGGCAGCAACACCAATGGAAGATTGAGATACCGACGTTAGGTCAGACACCCATCATCAGAGGACGAGGACTTCATCCTTCCCCCCTTCTCTGGAGATCATGAAAGAATGGAGGGCAGAAGAGGTAAAAGTGACAAGACCCGCCTAGCAAGAAAGGTTTTTTCTTTGGCACACTGGACACTCCTGTTTTGACTCACGCACCATCCGACAACCAGGGTCATCCGAATGGGGTTAACCGGAGCACCGGGCACACTTTGCCCACTTCTGGCTTAGGAAGCCTATGGGAAAAGAAATCCGAGACAGGCTCAGGATGGAATGCCCACGCCCTCTATGTCCGAACAAGATAGTCCTCACTATGGAGCTCGTGGTGATATGTATGTCCCGATCAGGCCGGGGTCCATGTAAAGGTGTAGGAGGAGGACTCAAAACGAGTTAAGATGAAATACTGGATATGATCAGCCCGGGAAAAAATTCTATACTTTGCGGACCTGACCCCACACAAGACTCACCTCTAGAAGCTCACGATGCAAGGGAATGGGTGCAAAGGGCAATATGTAGGTTGGGGAACGCAAGCCAGTTACCATGTCTAGATGGGTTCATTGGTTATTATCGCTAGCGAGGGTGGAGACGTGTTTGGGTACTCATTCGGTAAGAGGCGCGGCTGCTTCTCAGGCCTTCACGAGGGGGCCTCTATATTTTCAGCAACGAATTGGACACGGATAGACTAATTCCATATATTTATTTTCGTCAACCACACACGCATCCTTCTCGCTCATACCACAGCTTTAAAAATGCTAAATATGAAGCCTCCTGTCATGTGATAAAATTGTAGATTATGCTAACGTAGTGTACCTATAATCTTAATTTTAATAATGACAGGAGGCGAATATTTTCCCTCCCTGTTTCCCTCCCTATAATCTGGAAAAATTTTATATTCTGGTTTGTCATTTTCTCATTGTAAATTATAAGGTTTTGGTAATTCAGTATATTTATGGGATGCTTATTTGGTTGACATGTGTTAGATCCGTGTTGATTATTAAGTATACTATGGTTTGTTTAATGTTTCAGTATATTAACTTAATATAAATATAGATACATATAGTACTGGATTTAATGTGGACAACAGTTGGTTTCCATCACCTTTTACGTATTTCTGTTCTTTTCAGCGTAATCATCATAGATGGATTCGACAAGATAAAGCTGGAAGGTTTCAAGTTTCGTTTCAAGTTATGTGCTACACGTTAATCAGGACTGTTATTTGAATTCCCTGACGTTATAATAGACTGTTTTTCGCATCAAAGAAAGAGGAAGTCATGTGTCTGTCAGGGCTTTATATATGGATGTGATGCCTGTTACTGATTGGTTTAAAGTTTATTGATTGACTTGTGCTGCTGGAGGCATAAAGTAAAGAAAGTTATGCAAAATATTCGCCTCCTGTCATTATTAAAATTAAGATTATAGGTACACTACGTTAGCATAATCTACAATTTTCTTTTATTTTTTTATTAGATATAAGCACAAATCCTATATAAATATTAGTCATGGCACTGAAGCTCCCTTAACTTAAAGATAAACTATAGTCACCAGAACAACAACCGCTTAATGTAGTTGTTCTGATGGGTATAATCAGTCCCTGCAAGCTTTCTGCTGTAAACACTGCCTATTGAGAGAAAATGCAGTGTAAACATGGGGACACTTCTAGTGGCAGTCACTCAGACGGCCAGTAGGAATGCTTCTTGGGTCAGTGCTGCACAACATGCAGCCCTGACGTTCAGCATGACGCTCTGCATGGAGATGCTGAATTTTCCCCAAAGAGGTGCACTGAGTCAATGCATCTCTGTGAGATGCTGATCGACTAGAGCTGCATTTGGCCACACCCCTGAACTGCCTCGTCAGAATTGACAATCTCAATTAACTATTAGTTAACTATTTATTTAAGGGGCACAATGGGTGGCTAAATAGTGTTTTTAAGACAATAGAGATTACACATTTGTATTTCGGACCCTATAGTATTCCTTTAAGATTACACCAATTAGGAGTAAGTTTATGAAGCAAAGAAATTGCACCAACTCCAGTTTGGTATATTAATTTCCACTACCCTCCACAAAAGAGCAATTTGCCAGCATGTCACTGGCTAATAAGTAGTTCTAGTAATCCCTGTATGGGGACATTTTCAAAAGGTTCCTGGGGTGCTGCCACCTTTAACCCCTTAAGGACCAAAGTTCTGGAATGAAAGGGAATCATGACATGTCACACATGTCATGTGTCCTTAACCCGACACATGACATGTGTGACATGTCATGATTCCCTTTTATTCCAGAACTTTGGTCCTTAAGGGGTTAAGGGGTGGTTAAGCTGAATGAAAATAGGGTACAAAGGAACCAATTCTGCATTTTCCTACCCTTTGTCTTGCATGTTCCCCTTGTTGTTCTTCTGGTTGTCCTACTTGTAGTCTCCAATGTAGATTGTGTAGAACCAATAGGTTGATATTCTATGTTACAAAGTAAAATTTTATTTCACATAAATGACTCATAACCATTTTAACCTTTATGTGCAATATATACAATTAGAGGGTGTAATAAATGAAAAAAGGGACATTATGGTTCAAAAATCACATATAACAAAAATGTAAAATTGCTTCGGTTCTTAACATCTTCACTGCAAGCTCACATTCCAAAAGAGTTATTTGCATTCTCCTTCCTCTACAGTGCTGTATTTTACTCTGGAGTGAAGCTATTTTATCAGCCATGGCTTCATTCTATCCTTTTGCATCTTTCTTTGTACACATTACAGAAATATTTGTAGCTCAAACCTCATGCTTGCATTGTAACAGCTAGGAAGAGGCAGGAGGGTACTGAGCATATTGTATATGCTACATGGGTTTGAGATGCAATAGCAGGCTGAAAAGCACAGGATAGTATAGATGCTGGCCATAACTGCATTTTACCCACACACAATGTTCATGAATGTTCATTATTTTATTTAATCCTTTTTTACTAATTTTTGTAACACCTGCTATTTCCAAATTCAACATCTATGCTAATAATTCTGGCCTTGTAAAATGTTGCGAGATAAGTCTAAAATTGTTTAAATCAACAACAAAAAAGCATACACAACATAACTTTTTTTTAGTCTACATGCAAGTGTTACTTATATAGCCTATGCTCCAAAAAAAATAATTTTTTTTAGATAGAAAAATTGTGTCCTACAGGGGTAAACAATACTTTGCAAAATAAGTCTAATAATACTTTGCAAAATAAGTCTAATAATTCAATGAGAGGGGTGGCGCCTCACTTCCGGAGCGGATGGAAGCACTTGGCTAGAGCTCCGTAACACCGGGCGACAAAACAGCTCACAAAAGCAATTATAGCCAATTTTATTCACCACAAACTGCCCCATCTGACCCCCTGAGCACACCCCAACAGGAAAAATGTGGAAAAAATAGAGACATAGCTCGGCGGTAGCCCCAATATTCCGCAGCCGCGTTGGCAGGGGCCCGCCTTGTGTGGATGAGCCTCTAGAATCTGAATCTGACACTGATGCCAGGGAGACGGGATGATGCAGCCAGCACCATACCCCAGTCAAAAAGGGAGACCTAAAAGAGCTACTCTGCAACATCAAACTCAATATGGCAGCTGAACTGGCCAAACACCTGGCCCTCATCAGGGAAGGCCTGGAGGACCTCACGAAGCGCACCCTAGCATTGGAAGAAAAGATGGAGGAAATCTCCACAACTACCTCTAACCAGGACAGGGCCATGCACGAGCTCCATGAACAGGTATGAGCCCTGGAAGATACACAGGAACACCTGAACAATAGATCATGAAACAACAATAGATCAGAAATAATATAAGGATTAGGAAACCATCACAGCAGATATGCTCAACTCAGCACTCCGGGAAACATTCTGCAGCCTTTTACCTGAAGCACCACCAGCAGAGTTAATCCTGGACAGAGCATATAGGGTCCTCCGAGCCCCATCAGCAAATGCAAATCAACCGCGCAATGTTATAGTCCGCATGCACTACTTCCATGTGAAGGAAGCACTGATGAGGGCCGCCAGAGACACCCCCTGCAAATAGGGATATCCGGTCCAATTCTTCCAGGATCTGGCCCCCAGCACCCTACAGAAATGAAGGGCGCTCCGACACAGGCCCTCACCCAGCATACACTCCGGTACGCGTGGGGCCACCCCTTTAAGTTGATGGTCTGCAGGGAAGACCGAACATGCGTCCTTCACGACATCTCCGAGGCCCAGGAATTTGCAACCCAGTTAGGCTTACCACGCATTGATATGGAGTCCTATCATTGCCCACATGGCTCCCACGAGGATCAAAACAACATGCCTGCCCTGCCGAGATGGTGGAGGCCATCCAGACGGGAGCCAAACATCCATGAAGATTCGGATAGAGACTCTCCACCACGGGCCACCAACCTACATGAAAGAACTGTAGCGATCCGATAGCCTCCACTCGCCACCACTCACTCACATAGCTCACTCACCTGCTGGACTGGACATCCACGAGCCAACATCAAGCCTGATGAGTGATTGCTGAACTGACCCCAATACCCAGGACGCTGTGGCTGACCACGACACTGAGATAAGAGCAAGAATATATCCCTCACTGTATCAGCCATGTCCACCTCTATCCCACTCCCTATTAACCTTACTGCTTAATTAGTTCCATACGCTCTGAAAGGCATCTGGGAACCCACTTAAAGATCGGCCTCTCTCCTTAGTGGGCCTAGAACCCCTTCCATGCCCTTCATCGGCACTGATAAAGGGTTGGGATTCGTTGGGGACTCCCCCCTTCCCCGATAAATTATTTAAGCTGACTTCAACCTAGGGGGGAACTCCGCCTCCCCGGCACTGCACCACAATGTGGGGCAGCATTCACCCCTTACCCACACAACCACCTCACCCCCCTCTCTCAGTGCCAATCTCCTGCTTAACTTTTATATGTACACTGTGCATTGCATTATTAACTCTTGTCACATGAATATGAGGCTACTCAGAAGAGCACAGTTGGACACCCCGCAGTCACTGGTTAAGCCCGAAACAGCATCCTTAAAGCACTTTGGCTACAGCGCATAGTGAGAACCCCTGCCTACCCTAAGTTTAATTACTCAGCTAAATGTTTTATAATTTATGCTGCTTGCAACTTTACATGTTGTACGGGGGGGACGGGTGAGGCGCCCGGGCCCCATCCTTCCCTGGTCTCCCCACCCCTATTGGGGGTGGCGGGATGTGGAGGTTACGGGCACAGGCAGACTTACCGACACTGCATTATAGTAGTTTAAGCTGACTCCAACCTAGGGGGTCCCCCGCCACCCTTGGTAGCATACAACCCTTACCCACATGACCAGCCTCCCCCCTCTCTCTGTGCCGATCTCCTGCTTAACTTTTATATGTACAAAGTGCCTCGCATTTTTAACGCTCGTTTACATTATTATGCAAATTATATTTTTCTCATTTACCTAAATAATTGATGTAAATAACAGTCAGCATAATTTTCATGTTATCAACTATTAAGAGTACAATTCACATTTTATTGAACAAACCTCCTAAAGATAACAGTATTTTTTTTAAACATAAACTTACAATGCACTGTTCCAAATTATTACGTATAGTAAGTTTCAAAACACTTTATAGGTTGTAAAGAACTGAAAATTGTCATTTGTTGTGTCTGCAGCATATTTACTGAAATCAAAAGCTATTTCTATCAAACTTACAACATTTTAACTTTTTAAACATTTTAACAGGTCACGTTACATTTTAACATAGGACCCCTTATTTGATAGCAGCTTCACAAGTCTTGCATCCATTGAACTTGTAAGTTTTTGGACAGTTTCTGCTTGAATTTGTTTGCAGAATGTCAGAATAGGCTCCCAGAGCTGCTGTTTGGATGTAAACTACCTCCCGCCCTCATAGATCTTTTGCTTGAGGATGCTCCAAAGGTTCTCAATAGGATTGTGGTCAGGGGAGGATAGAGGCCACACCATGACTTTCTCTCCTTTTATCCCCATAGGCAGCCATTGATGCAGAGGTATTCTTTGCAGCATGAAATGGTACATTGTCATGCATGAAAATGATTTTATTACGGAAAGCATAGTTCTTCCTTCTGTACCAGGGAAGAAAGTGGTCAGTCAGAAACTCCACGTACTTTGCAGAGGTCATCTTCACACCTTCAGGGACCCTAAAGGGGCCGACCAGCTCTCTTCCCATAATTCCAGCCCAAAACATGACTCCACCACCGCCTTGCTGATGTCGCAGTCTTGTTGGAACAGGGTGGCCTTCCACCAACCATCCACTACTCCATCCATCTGGACCATCCAGTATACACTCATCAGTGAACAGGACTGTTTGAAAATTAGTCTTCTTGTATTTGTCTGCCCAATGCAGCCGTTTTTGCTTGTGAGCATTGGTTAGTGGTGGCCGAATAGAAGGTTTATGCACAGTTGCAAGACTCTGGAGGACTCTACACCTTGATGTCCGTGGGACTCCAGTGGCACCAGCAGCTTCAAATACCTGTTTGCTGCTATGTAATGGTATTTTAGCAGCTGCTCTCTTGACCCAATGCATGGATCTGGCAGAAATCTTCCTCAATGTGCCTTTATCTGCACAAACCCGTCTGTGCTCTGAATCAGCCACAAATCTCTTAATAGTGCGATGATCACGCTTAAGTTTTCGTGAAATATCTAATGTTTTCATACCTCGTCCAAGGCATTGAACATTTCACTCTTTTCGGCAAGCAGAAAGATCCTTTTTCTTCCCCATATTGCATGAAAATGGTGCTCTGCTTAATAATGTGGAACACCCTCCTTTACTAGTTTTTCCTTAAATTGGACTCACCTGAAAATCCGAGATTGTTTCCAGTAATCAAAAGAGCCCTGGGACACAATGCCATGCATGAGTTAAACTGAAAAACTAAATATTTAATCTTTGTGACACTTAAATAGAATTTGCATAATAATTTGGATCAGGGTGCATATGAGGCTACTCAGAGGAGCACAGTTGGACACCCCACAGTAACTGGTCAAGTCCCAAACAGCATCCTTAACCCCTTAAGGACACATGACATGTGTGACATGTCATGATTCCCTTTTATTCCACAAGTTTGGTCCTTAAGGGGTTAAAGCACCTAGGCCATGCCGCGCGGTGAGGCCCGTTATCTACTCTATTACGCAGTTAAATTTTTAATAATTCATGCTGCTTGCAACTTTACATGTTATACGGGGGGGGAAGGGTGAGTCGCTTGGGTCCCCTCCTTCACTGGTCCCTCCGCCCCCTTTGAGGGTGGCAGGCTGGGGGGATGTGAGGGGTTACAGGCACAGGCAGT